GTTCTTACTCTGAACATGCTCACTGCGTCACGTTCACTCTTCTTTCACAGGCGCAGGCCGCTTTTGACGAAAGCATTAGTCTCTCGGCGACTGGATACTTCAGGTACAGAGACCCTTCACAACGTCCTGTGGAAACCAGCGGTGGGCTCTGGAGGAAGAGTTTCACTTCCGTTTGCAATTTTGGCAAAAACTGATTTGTACCTTCCGTTAACCCACTGTTAGAAAGAACATTTGGCTGCTGCTTAATCCAAATGTCCAGAAGGGTTTTGTTGGGAAAAATAGGCGTGCAAATAAAATGCAGCTGAATTGATTCAAGTTGTAGTGGAGGGTTCTCTGGGGGTTGGTGCTTGGAACCCACAGCAGTGGTTGACCTTTTGTTGAAAACTCGGTGTATCCCTTAAGTTAAGAAACAAAGGTGAGGAAATGAAAATGAAACCCATAATAAGAGAGATACCATTTTACACCATCTAGATTGGCAAAAAATGGCAAATTTGACAATAACTATGTGTTGTCAAGGTGTGGAACAACTAGAACTCAGATGCTTTGGGGAACAATTTATCAAATTATTTTAATGGAGAGTGAAGGCCATCAGAGAGCAGGGTGATACAGAGAGTCTTACCTGATTTTGTCACTTTGCCAATTGTCATGGGAGTCCCAGAGCCTGGCTGGTTCTCAGGAGTAAGCACCGGGAAGCGTTGTTAATGGCTCCCTCTAGACTGGGAGGAGCAGAGGAGAGCAGGGTGGAAAGTGCTGGCGAGCTGCTGGCCTGTGCTCCTCTTTTACCAGGACGTTCACCTGGTGTCCTTAGAGGAGAGCTGGGAGCAGAGCAGGCCAGGGAGACCAGAGCAGTGGCAAAGAATGAGAGGCAAGGGCCTGATCCTTTACTCAGAGGCTGACCCTTGGAGCTGGAAAGACAGAGGAATGGGCAAGTGCGCACCTTTGAAGTGGTGTTTGGTGTAAGATGCAGGTTGAATTCCCCAAATCTGATGACAACAGGATTACATGATCCAGTTAGCCGAAAACAATAGGACAGATAATCATACAGTCAGCAGCTAACTTCCAGGCGTAAGAACTCATTGATAGGGAGCGATTGGATACTTTTATCAGACAAAGCACGTTTAATAAGAAAGAAGTCAATATATATTTATTCATAGGTTGACTGCGTGCATTATGTGCTGGCCCAACATTGCACAAGTGTCCTCCTCTGGTTTGCTGTGCATAGAAATTGAGCACAGCCCCTAAGGGGTCTGTTTACTCATCATGGTCTGCAATTAGGGGACTTGATCACTTAACAACACTCCTCAAGAATTCTGTTTCCTCCAGGGGATATGAGACAAACATGAACTGGGAGACAGGAGAAGGCCATCCTTTCGCATACTTTGTTTATGGAGCTGCCTGTTCCGAGGTGGAAATAGACTGCCTGACAGGTGCTCATAAGGTCAGTACCAATGGGGAGGGTCTTCGAGTTGTGCCCTAGATACACCTCAATTCCGCATTTGCCGTCAATCTGTGCACCATAGAAACGCCATGTCTTTGGCCTAGGGGTAATTTCTCTGTGTCCCCAGAAGGACTAGAAGCTCAGCTGTTGCCTTGATGCCAGGGTTACTTCCATGCAAAATACCAGTGTCCTCTCTTCTTCATTTCCCTGGTGCTTTTACATGGAATCAGGAAAGAAACCGCTTAAAGGAAGCAGCACAGCCTAAAGGGAGCGTCTTGTAGACTGCTGGGACAACCAGAAATCCTGACCTCTTCTGTGAGCTGCCATCATATGACCTTCTTAGAGGAGTTCATGAGCATATCTGCTAACAAGGACCACAGGCCAGCCCGGGGAAGCTAGTGGCCAGCTTTCGATATCTTTTATCCAGCTAGGTCCTGCTCTTTTTGTTTTAAGAGCATCTTTATGCTTTTAGAGGATGCTAGGAGGAGACGCACACACACACTCAGACACACACATTCCTCCTTCATGGACTCATGCAGCTTCTCCTCTTGTAGCTGGGCCTTTGAGGGTAAACGAAGGCACTTACTGGCCACGGTCAATAATAATAAATGATCATCAATACATTAAATGGGACTGTGATGCCCTCACAGCTGTCATGTGTTTATCTGTCCAAAGACCTACCCAGAAGCAAGCTCTCGTTCTTGGTATTACTAAACATCCTTTGTGACTACGTCTTGCAATGTGATGAGGTGTATGTGTTCATTTAATGTGTCTCCAGCATGTATGTTTTTTAAACTGTCGTCAGCCTAATCTTTGAAATTATCTACACCTCTATTGAACCTGCCCACTCAAGAATCTGCGTTGTCTAGATTCTAACTCAGACCAGTCTCTTTGGGGAACCTTGGACGGGCACAAAACAGTGATCACTTTAAGCATGATTGTCACGCCAGAGCAGCTGTGCTGTGTTAGGGAGTGTAGTAGAAAGTTCTCTCATGCTGATTTCTGCATTCGTTCTCCTTCAATGAAAA